GTAACCCGGTTACGGTTAACCATTCGAGCGGTTACTTACGGTAAAAATAACCGCTTTATAACAGCTTAGTGTATATTTGGTGGTCTTGGATATTTGTTTACATTAGAAGTAGACAAGAGTAGTCTTTGTCCTGACGTTTTAGTGCATCTGTTATAGTGACAGTTTACACTGCGTTGTACAAAAAACGACTGTTAAGTGGTGGCATCGGCGAATACCTCATCAAGCACTGTTTGTCAGAGTAACTTGACTTTTTTAAATAAAATCCTTGACCTATTCACCATGAATCTCAGCATTTCACTCAATGAATTTGAGTACCCAACAGATATGAGGTGCATCCGTGTCACTATAGCAAGTGCACTAAAGCGTCAAGGCAAAGACCATTCTTGTCTACTTCCTCTAATGTAAAAATATATCAAAAAATGCCAAATATACACTAAGCTGTTATAAAGCAGTTATTTACGGTTACGGTTACTAATTTTAACCGGTTATTATTTACCGTTACGGTTGTGTTAAATTTTTTTCTCTTTGTGCAGTGATATTTGTACAAAAACTGGTGGAAAGACTTTGGGAATAATTGTTTAACCAAAATTTAACTATAGCGTCTACTTTTTCATAACCACGTATACCTGCTTCTGTGCGTTAGAAGTCTGTTTTGATCAGAATCGTATGAGCTGGAACGTATTAACACTGTTGGATCACGAGCCATGAACTGGCATGGGACGGACAAATCATATTTGTTCTGAGTTTCAAGTCGATAATCATGATACTGAGTATTAGAAATCTGATAAAGTCTATCTTTTCTGGTCGTGTCCTCGCGAAACATTTGAAAATCAGCATCAAAGCTTGTACATACAGCAGAAAAAAACGTTCACCCTCTACCTGAATAAAAGAAGAGAAATCTGTCTTCAAAACTAGACTCACAAGGGTTCTCTGTTATTGTTCATTACGACATCTTTCAGAAAATTACTTCTAGTTTAAATTTAATTTTGCTTTTTTATATCATGTTACAGATATACTTTTACTATAGGCAACCTTAGATTATCTCATAATATCCATGTGTCTGAATTTTGATTAAAAAGTAAGTTATATGAATAAAATTAACTTCGTACAATATGTAACAGAATAAAGAACTTGTTGCATGGCAGCGCTTGTGATTGTGTGATCACGCAGAAAGCGAAAAAGTCAAACAAAAATGTTGTATTGATCACGTCTCACTTTTATTTACACAATTTGTAAAAGAAAATAGTAAGAATTATAGTTACGAATTTCAATACTTGTTCACTACATAATGGTTGAGAAGAAAACTAAGGGAGATGAGGTCCGAAGTGGTTTGGTAACCCCCCCCGCGCCGGGCGGGGGGGGG